GCCCCGACCCCGGGGAAAGGCTCCTCGGCCCCGGCCTCGGCTCACCCACTTATCACTGCCTTCACCTTCTCGGTCATCATGCTGCAGAAAGGAAACAGCTGTCAGTAACGCAGCTCTCTTTTCTCTGCCCACCCCAATGTACCTTTCCCCCAAGAACCTGTGCCTAAGCCTAGTCTTTTGTGCTTTTCTGCTCTTTTTCCCTGTCCCCTACTCAAAAAAATGCCACTGGCTCAGATCTAGGTAAGTATCAGGAGGTTAACTTAGGAATTCTAGACAGTTTGCACATTTTAAATGTTAACCTCCACTCACCACTGACAACAATTATACTTCATTTACTCCTCAAATCTACCCCATTATTACCCCCACTATGCAAATGAGAAAGTGGCCCAATAACCTAAAGCAACTCAGTGTTTCATATACACCACTTCTCAAAGGGATCATCCGAGAAAGCCAACTGCACTAAAATGTGAAACGCTGTGTGAACTGTGTTTCTGGGCAGCTAAGAGAGGGAGCACCACTCAGAGGACACAGCTGGCACAAGACTAGGGATATGGGTGCCTAGCAAGTCATTAAAGGCCAGGGTTCAATCCGCAGCACAGGGGTATGGTGGGGGTGAAGGGTGGAGTCAGAACATCCGGGGCTCTTCTCACCAGCCCCTGATCCTATATTTCCACCTCAGCTATATACAAGGAGGTAGGGTGGCAGAGTAGGGAAAAAATCTGACACCTCAAAACAAACCCTGTTCTGATCTCAGATAAAATGTAAGAATCTCATGAAAGAACAAGAATGCATTCTGGAAACCAGAAGCTGTTACTTCATCTGTCCCTTGAGTCTAAAGCCATCCTCTCACATAAGCTAGGGCCTTACTGCTCTGCAGCTCAGCAGAGAAGCCAGCTAGTTTTGTCCACAACTGCATGCACATAACAAAAAAAAACAGGTTGGCAAATCTCTTTTAGGGGACAGTCAGGGTCAGGATAGAGGGGCTTTGTATGGTTTCAATTTTTCCTTTCACAGCAGTTCCACTGCAGTATGTATCCTGGGCCCAGCAAACTGTACTATCCTAGATGAGGTTAAGTTCAAGGGTTGTCCAGAAGCCTTTCAACAGCTCCTAGCAGCGCTGTAAAAGTGAAGATGACCATGCATGGTCATCTACACAAAAATCCAAATTTCTAAGCTATGTAACTGACGATGCAAACCCACGCCAGCCATTCAAAAGGTGGATGGTCAACAGCATGTTTATATTGGTTACAACACTGCGCCACACCTGCTTGGATATGGGTCTGCTGTGACATACAAGCAAAGCCAAGGGGCCTCAAGCACTGGCCAGTAACTTGGCCTAGAAAGGCTCCAAACTGAGAAGCCCAGAAGAGCATGGGAATGATCCACAGCTTAGATCTCTGAAGCACCAGAGGCATTTCATTCTGGCAACAGATCCTTTTCCTCAAAGAGATCTGTGAACTGTCTTTTTCTGTGAATCTTGCTCTGTGAGTGACAGAAGCTGGGGGTGAATGAGAGTAAAGCAAATTAAAAAGATAAGAGCAACATGTCTCCTAGAATCCGTAAGCTCTTAGAAGACAATCTCTATAAGGGGCCAGTACTGACTTGTTTTACTTATCTCTCTCGAAGACAGCCATGTCTACTGCTGTACTGTCTGTCCAATAAGTATAAAGCCCTAGTACAATATGCCTGCACATACATTTAATTATAGGGTTGGCCAGACCAATTAAAGCCTTTGAAACTGCTACTACATAAATCAAAAGCCCTCTGGCTCTCTCTTGGTAGCCCCAGACACATACCAAGTAATACTTCTTGCTTTTGGGTGTATACTCTGGATCCCATTCCTCTTCCCGGTTTCTCTTTTGAAAATCATTGTTACTGTTGTTGTTATTGTTACCAGAATAGTTGCCTCTGCCCCAGCCTCTCCCTCTGGCTCGAAATTG